CCTACATTGAAAGAGAGGGAGCTTGACTAGCAAATCAAAACTAAGAGAGGTGTCTACCTCTTTAAGATGTTAGTTGTTGATTGTGACATCTGGGGGAGGGACAGCATCCTGAGCCTCGATGTTTGTCTCCTTTAGACTGATAGATAGCCCGAACTCCGCACAAGTGTGGGACAAACGATTGACTGTTGAAGACCGGCCTCAGCATGTGAGGTTTGTGCTGCATCATCAGCAAAGAGCATCACATGTATCAGGATCTGTCTGACCTTTGTTTTGGCAAGCGATGTTTAAGAGCTTCCCATCAACTCTGGGGCAAAGCTATGTACATGTATGTAGATAGCCACATTGCAGTCTGCTAAGGTATACAGAGGAGCGTGGAGAAAAAGATCCTGAAAAGGATGGAACCATTACACAGATTTGCTTCACTCCTCTGCTTGCAGGAAAGGTATCAGAGGTTGCACCATTGAAGCAGACGGTGCTGTGTGTCCCCTCACGGAAGGAAATTACATGTACCATTTGGAGCAGCCTTGAGGGGCAGCTAACCTTCTGCCAAAGACTGAAGAGTCCACTTCTACTGATCAGGTCAAAGGCTTTTATCAAGTTGATGGAGGCTGCGTACAGTGGTTTCCACTGCTCTCAGCACTTCTTCTGTAGCCAGCATTATGAAAACATCATAGCCAACTTCAATCTGCTGGCTCAGAAACCACACTGTGACTCCAGGTAGGCTTGCAAGGCGAAGCTCTGCAGGCATCCCAGGATGACATAGGCAAAGACTTTGTCAGTGATGCTGAGGAGTTAGATGCCATGATACAGTACACAGTTTTTACAGTTGCTGTAACTTTCCTTGTGTTTGTAGATGGTGAGAATATTGGCATCTCGTATATCTTTTTGGTCTAGTCCTCCAAGCACAGGCAGAGAAGCTTGTAAAGGTGCTGTAATAAAAGTGACATTCCACTCTCCGAGATTTTGTACAGCAGAGCGCCAGTTTTGCTACAGGCTATTGACATGCCTTCCCACATGTAAGGCAGTCAGTACCAAGCTCTACCATGGTAGGCTGGTTGTTTAGCTTTTCCATGATTGGCAGACTAGGAAGTGCATCAAAGGCAGCTTCAGTCACCATGTGCCGGGTTGCATACAGCTGCAGGTAGTGTTACACCCAGAGTTGAAGTTGCTTGCTTTGAACAGTGATGACTTCCCCAGATAGGAACTACATGTAATGTACCGCTATAACGTCGTGCTGCTTCATGTGTCATTTGCAACATGTAAGTAGAGAATTTTAATTTCATGTCAGGTACATGTAGGAAAGCTGGAAAAAAAAACGGGTGAGGATTTCAGTAACATATACATGTATTTTTAGTGAAGGCGAAACAAATTTTTTTATTCATCGGCCCATGCATAATGAAAGAATGAAAGAATTTTGTAATGTTATGTAATGTTACTATTAGGAAGATACCCTGTGCATGTACGGTACATACATGTAGCATTTTCAGTTTTGCCCTGGTACCATTCATCCATCAGAAGTGAAAAGAAACATGTCCTACAGCCTAGCAGTGAAAGGTTGAGTACATGTAATGCACAAACAATCTTGTGTTGGCGAGAACTGGCCTGATGTTAAGCTTTACTGGTAAATGCTCAAGCTAGGAATCAGCCAGTTCTGTGTTTTAAAAAGCCAGGTCATTCGGGAACAAAGTACCCATGTGAGTCCATGTGGGGACACACTAATGAAGCAGACCTTGCACATGCGTCTGAATGACCTCAGATGCACTTCATTTTGGGCATGTGCTATTGGAATACTGAACTGGCTCATTATCCTTGGTTTTTGTTGTGCAGCGGTCAATTTACATACATGTACAAGTAGGGCTTTTGTAGAATAAGATCGGCTACATGTACCTGTCTGTACATGTAAGCTTGACATGTCTACGATACATTTGTTTGCTGTGTTTTTCATTGAAGGAATATTACACAGTACAGCTGTGTATGGGACGTGGGTAATGAAGAAGCTAGCCTACTCGTACATGTACATGTATCGTGTGCAGTGCATGATGCATCCACAGGAGCATACTCTATTCCATTTTGTAAAGACAACTACATGTACTTACCGGTACATGTACATGAACATATAGACATGTGGATGGATATGATTATCTTAAGTAATTTTCGTACATTGAGAGTGTATCCATATTCATTTTGTAAAGACAACTACATGTACATGTATATGTACTGTACTTACAGTTAGATGTACTTGTAGATGGACATGGTTATCTTAATTTTTTGTACATATGTACATGTATATTATGTAAGTCATATCGAGATGTCAAGAATTCTTTGTCAATCCATAAAATTAAAATTTTCAGTAATGACATAATTTTGAGGGCAAATGTCCATGTTCATGAAAGCAAGTTGTCAATTCTTGTTTTTGCACAATACAGGCCCATGTACTGTAAATGTACGGTACTAATACCAGTACATGTACATTCACCTGTACAAGTCAACTGTTGCTTAAAGCCAAGAACTGGTACATGTACATGCTGCAGTGCAAAGACATGCTTTACAGGTTGTAAAGATTACGCACATAAACAGTCATTCAGCATGTGTTATCGTACCTGTACGTACGTGTACTCCTACAGTACATGTACTGATAGCTTAGCACATGTACCGGCTACGACATGCATCGGTACATATAGGTAGCGGTTTGCTGTTCAGTAAACAAATCTTACAGTACATACATGTAGGTACAGTACAGGTTCATGTACAATGTACGCATACTGTACGTGAGCACCGTACATGTGTATGAGTACATGTACATGTACATGTATGCATTCTTCACTGTGATGTGTACAGTGACTGTTCATACAGTGTGCGGCAAACATCTACGGTACTGTGGGGACATTGCATACATGTACAGTAGGACAACACTGCTTCACTTTAATAATGGAATAACCACAGGAAACTGGTCTTGAGGACATGCGTGTGTGCCTAGCTAAGTATTTAATTAAAAATCCACTGATGCGACTCAGACGGTTGTCAGACTAGAGAAAGAATTTCAAAATCAACTGTCCGAATAAATAATTGGGTACCATCTTTGTAAATTCTGTATTTTTCTTTCTTCATGAAAAATACTTACATGTATACTATTCTGGTCACTGTATTTACATACAGTGTAATGGCAATTTGGAAATGATGGACAAGGAATCAGTTTAGTGTTATTGATTGTTCCGGGTTTTCATTCTCCACTTACATTACAAATACACATGAATTGTTATGTCTTTCGTATGATTTTTGGATGTAAGATCGGAATTTAAAAAAAAAAGACCTTGTTTTTGTTATACAGATATTATTTTCTGTTCAGAAAGGCACATCACGCCAGCCACACTTCAACTTGTTAGAAAAAAGAAGTGTGCCGTCATAACACTGGTATGTCCCCCTCCCCAATCTTCTCAGAATCAGATAATTAATTGTGCGGGATGTTAATCCCACGCCGAAGGGGACAAATCACGGCAATTTGCATTTCTCTGCGGAACGTGCTTGGCGTCACACTGTTTTTATTCTGCTGTTGTCTACACTTGCTCTACCGTGCGTCTACGTGTGTACGTGGCCGTGCATTCATTTTGTTGAGTAAGCACCTCGTTGTGAGACGATGCCCGTGTTGTGCCACAGATGTCGTTGATTTACATTTTTGTTCTCTCCCAAAGGCCTATTGACCTTTTACACATGGGAAGCTGACAGAGGAATACAATTGTTGAAGATATGACACCCTAGTCTCTATCGTTAGATATCATGTATACCCAGTCAGTCCGTCTTGAGCAAATGATGGAGTGTAAACATGAAGGAACCAACGTGTACATTGCATGCAAGAGATAGGAATCCTTATAGATGATTAGATGGTTTGGTGTGCACTACATTGAAAATAGGACATCCAGAGTCCCCAAACAATTCATGCAAAGTTTGCACTGTGCTGACCACATGCACTAATATACTAACCATGCGCATGTACCGTTACATGTACATGTGCCGTATGTACATGTACACGATACCAGTAATACAGAATACTGGTAGATTTACTACTGGTACATTTGTGCACTACCTGGTCTGATCAGTGTGCTTTATTATCAGCTTTTTCCTTTGTCATCACATTGAGTACAGTATTTGCCATGTTACAGTATTTCTGGGATTTTTTTGTTTTTGTTTTAATCTATAGTGGCATGTACAGTATGTACTGGACATATTTACAATGTACTTGTACATCTATGTCATCTCGGCATGTTAAATTAAGAGTACACAGAACCACTTTTCATAACTTGTACAAGAATTTAGAGACATCCCTGGTCTGAGCCTTCCGACCTTAGTGTACAGTAGCTAATGTACAGATATGTGTAACTGTGAAACAGGAGAATGCCTCTGTCAAAGGCCCTTTGATACAGCCTTTCATGTTGTGGGTGGCAATCTGATATTTTAGCTGGCATTTTACCACAGCTGGTTTTCAAAAGAGGGTGGCTTGATTGGGTCTGATGTTTCCAAACGTCATGGAGGACAGTGAGATGCAGACATTTCAGGGACAGAGTTCTCCTTGTTTTGGTAGGAGTTCAGTGATGTGGGGGGGACACTTTGCTTTAATCCTCACCCTTACTATCAGGTGAAATGGGCTGGTGGTCTGATTACCAAGCTCTTTGAATGCATTTGTTATGTCATTGTGGAATTGGCCATTATTCTTTCAGCCATTTAAGCCACATACGGTACCTGTACGTGTACATACAGAGGACACTATTTTCTGATGTTTTCTGTTTTGACAGGCACATTTACATGGACATCATTATCATCATGTTACAAGGGCAAATGTACCAGTACATGTGTGTGTTATAAAACAAAACCATTACATGGTATATGATTATTTGCCCTTTTTCTGATATCTGTTTTCCTCTGGTAACTGGAATCATCTTTGACTATTCCAATTACTGAAGTTGTTTTAATTTGTTTATGTTTTCATCTTTCCCTTTGCATGTCAGTTGGTATCCCGTCCATCAAATGGTGCGGGGCAGAGGGAGACTACAATGTGATGGTGATGGAGCTCCTAGGCCCAAGCCTGGAAGACCTCTTCAATTTTTGCTCGCGGCAGTTTGGCTTAAAGACAGTGCTATTATTGGCCGATCAGTTGGTGAGTGTTCATGTCGGTGGCCCCAAAAGGACTGAGATTCACTGCCCTGATGAGCAACATAGCTCAGCAATGTTACTGACCCTCACTTGTGTGCATCTTTTGCATCTGAGCCCTTAGAAATTAGGTGCATTTTGTGACAGCATCACATGAACAGTACTCTCTACAGTTCTTGGAGGAGAGATGGTGGAAGACGTTTTTATTTATGAGTTGGCGAGAGTAAGCAAACAAGAGGTTGTTTGAAAGAAAACACACATAACCTGATTAGAGTTGATAAACAAGTCTGGTTTGTTTGATGAGGGGTAACTAGGGATGTTACATGATGTTTGGGGGAAGTACCACTTCACCAACCTAACATTGCACAGTGACCTGTACTTTTAACAAGTATTTGCCAGTATCCTGTGAAATGTACCAGCAGATCGAGGAATGGCCAATGGAAAAATGGACCACATCAGCACTTCTTTGAAAGTGGTTTGACCTTGCAGAGGAGGGGGAGAATGTTTCTGAGAAATTAGGCTTCCTAGTCTTCCATTTAGTTAGTCATGGGAGAAAGTAGTAGATACAGCTACAGACAAACCTTCACGCTCCCTCGCTCTCTACACCTGACTTGGGTAGACAGTGGCCATGCATATGCTGTGAATGCATCTGATGGCGAACAGTGTACTGGCAGTCTAGCCAATTAGGATACGCGCTCATCGTCTTTACATGCTAAAAGTAGGCATTGTGAGGATTAACAAAGAAAAACAGATGATACTTCCAGGAACTTGATGAAGTGGAACGTGTGAAAAGACCTTAATGGTATGCCCATCTGGGGACTTTGACTCCTGATGATTTGTTTGGTTAATACAGCTTCAGTCGGTAAAAGACAGGCAGCTGATAGAACATTACTAAATTAGATGGGAAAAGATGTTCCTGTCTTAAGTTGTATCGTTTCTTTGCACTTTGCAAAAGGAAAGGATGAAGTTAATACAGGATATGGAATGCGCTATGCAGCGACGTAATTGGAATGTTACAGATCTGTTCATGGACTGAAAACCTAATCACCATGCTGATCTGCGTGAGGTGTTCACCCAAGATACACTGTACCAGTATTAAAGAATAATTTTTCGAAAGAGATAAGTCATGTACTGCACAACACACCTAAAGGCCTTGTTTGCTCCAAAACATCCATCCCCAGGGTGAGTTCACCCCGTGGACACTCGCAGTGACTTGATTTTTTAACCTCAAGTTCAATCCCATGTTGTTTCACATTTGCTTCAGGCAAAGTACATGTACATGTATGTTTATCCCGCCCTGGGCAAGTTCGCTCAAGGGATTGTGTCTCGTGTGAAAAGGCTTTACATTGATAGGCCTGATCAGTCCTCAATCCTCCTATAAAGCATTACCTGTTGGTTTTTACACTCGTCTCTTTATGAGTTATTACTCAATACCCTAAAACTCCATTGAGAAGGATTTTTGTGTGTTTCAGATGTTCATCTTGTTGCGGTGACAAGTATTTCAGACGGATGCCATCAGGGTTCGACTCTAACACTGGTCCGCTAGCCAAATTCAAGTAAAAACCGCGGCGGTCTAGCAAAAGCCCTCATCTGGGTAGTACATGCTAGCTTGCACATGCACACACTAACCCCTAATGTTCAAAGTTTCCTTCGTCACCCATAACTTCCCTTACAAAAAAGAGGGAAAAACATCAAGGCAGCGATATGACAGAGCAATTGTTGACTGGTGTGATGTGGGATTATATGACATTTGAACACACGACAGACACATAATGATACAGTATCTCATGGAAGTGGCTACAGTGGTTAGCCTTTGACTTCCATAGGTTTATGCAGTATTTCCAACCACAGCCATGACCTTCCGACAAGCCTTATTGAAAGCACATTGTTGTACATACATGTATGTGTTTTAACATAATGAGCAGTGGCACGTGTACCACAGACTTACATAGTTGCGATAAGTAGCTTACATCTGAAAGTACATGTAGAATAGTTTTTCCTTGCACATGTTACAGTTACTCTGAGGGGTTGGCTCATTTTGTATTGAGAGCCATGTTTTTGTTCAGTTGGATTGCATGACTTGACCTGACCTAACCCCGCCATTCCCCACGTCATGTGCCAACCTGCAGGGCATTTTGAACTGTCCAACCAGGTCTTGTTCATCTCTCTTTAAATAAAAGCAGAGATGCCTTTGTGAGAGATGCTGATAAGATCAAAACATAAGGCCTCCTCAAAGATAAGGTTGCACCTTTTTTTTGTTCCTTCCATCTGTTCAGATCAGCCGTGTTGAATATGTACATAACAAAAACTTTATCCATCGGGACATCAAGCCCGACAACTTTCTGATGGGGCTTGGCAAGAAGGGCAACCTGGTCTACATCATCGACTTTGGCCTGGCCAAGAAGTACCGAGACGTCCACACACACCAGCACATACCCTACAGGGAGAACAAGAACTTGACCGGCACGGCCAGATACGCCAGTATTAACACACATTTAGGCATTGGTGAGTAGGACGCGCACACCTGTCATGCAACAGGTGTCTTGATTACTTAATTGAGTTTGGCTGAAAATTGGTTGCATTTCGATAATTTTTGAAGGCAAAGATTCTGTAAGGAATTCTTATCATTGGGTAGCCAAGAATCATTTGAAAATGGAAAATGAAGGAACTGTGCAATGAAGGGGTTTGGGGAATTTTATGGATTCTGAGGAACGCGTCTGTGCTCATTTATGGACTAATCCAATTCAAGTTACAGGCGTGTCATACATAGTGTGGACCTCTTCACAAAGGAAGTCTATATAATGCATTATGTGGACTTGCACGCGTCCACACAATGTTTTTCCCTCTGAAAAATAGCTTCAGAGGCATTTTGTAGTCAAGGTTATCAGGTTATCTTTGGCAAAATGAAAAGGAACAGTCCAGGAAATCATCAAAAATCTAGCTCAAAAGAGTTATCATAGTGGAAGAAAAAGGAGCATTTATCTTGACCACAGGAGAACAAAGGAATGTCCACACTTTGTATGTAAAACAAGTGTTGTGTTTTGGTGAACCTGTGTAAACTGCAAGTGTTAAGGTTTAATGTCAGTAAACTGCTATGCAGACGCATCACCCAAATGGTTGATCGATTACCAGTGCTGAATTTGATCATTTTGAAAGGTGTCGCTTCACTCAGTGTATCAACAGTTTGTCTGATTGCTAAATTTCAAAGTCCTTTTTGTCCAAGAGATACCTCAACCCTCAGGTGGTCATTTGGGTCTAAGGCTTAAAAATAAAAGCCAGTCTGTCAAGTGTGTACCCCGTCTACGGTATTTTTGGTAAGCGCTTGCTGTTAACAGGCTTTCAGCTGAAATAAGAAGCAGGATTTTAAGATTTGTTGTAAAATGACAACTTGGATGCCCACATCATCTATCATGATTTTTTTGCCCAAGCAACAACTCGTAAAACAGGGTCTTCAAATTTGCTGAAGCTGAAGCTTGCCTATCATTTCTGTGCTGTGGGTTCCCATAGTCAGAATGGCCAAGGGAGCCTGATGTATTAGCTGTGCTGTCCACCCCACCTCTGTCAGATGATTATTGGGGATTGACTTTCAGGAGCAGTCACTGCTGCGTCGTTGTAAGTCGCTGTGATTAATGACACCAGAATATTTGAAACATTTGCAGGCCCAGGAGCAGATCACAGTGGACGAGGAAGCGCAAGAGAGGCTCAGATTTCTCAAATATCAACAGTGCTGTTGGTTATCCAAATACTTTGTAACACATTTGTTGAGAAGCTGACTGTTGTGTACATAGTTTGTCAGCATGTAATCTGTCATGGTTCTCCTCTGATAAAAGACTGGAATCTAATGAGGAATGAAATGTTGAATCGTTTATATCTAACAGTACATATTATATCTGCTATATTTTGGGGGCTCAGGAAAACTGAATTTTAAAGTTGCTACACTTGTGGACTCTAGACAACTATTTTTCTCCTTTAATTGCTTTGATCTATAAATGCCTTTTTCTGTAGGAAAGCAATATCAATGTTTTCATAATTCATTTTCCGAGAGGCATCAATCCCCTTCTAAAATAAAAGTGACTGGGTTTTAACTTCCTGGATCCTGCACAGCCTTCCACGTTTATTTTAAATGTTGAAGGATGTGGAGAGTTGGAGTTCACATACATCTTTGCATTTGAGTATCTACAGAAGTATTCACTTGGCTGGATTAAATCAGAAAGAGGTAGATGCAGGATGCACTTGGATGCTTCTTAAAACAAAACACTACAAAAAATGCTTCAAGTTAGAATGGGATTATCCCTAACCACAACGCGCCAGGCCCATTTATCCATGTTGATTCTGCTGGGCCAAGTGGTTTTTCATTTTTTTCCGTTTCCAAAGTTCTTTAAAAATTCATAACTTCATTTACTACACGTTTACACCCACACAAATGACTGTCTAGTGGCTACTCTAATCTCACAGACAACATCTATTGACGCCTGAGTATTTCAGCCAGGCCTGCCACCTTGTGAACAAAAGAGCTCAGATTGTGCGGTGTTATGTAATTTTCTTTTGTTCCCATACCGGCATAGTGTGCTGCTGACGTCTTTTCATTAGGGGCCAGATTAACGTGCAGCGGTATTGTATCACTCATCACTGGAGCACTTTTGTCCCCAGTGGTAATCTGCTTGCGCTGAATGCCACAAACAGTGGTATTATCTTTCAAAACAATCACGGATTTCCTCCGCTATTGACAACTGAAAAAATGTTGCAAATTCCTAGCAGCTCTGTCTTTTGTTCTGAGTACGGTCTTTTGTTACAAGGCCAGCTCTTTTGTCCTGTTTTCAATCACCTTGGCATTAGGTATGGAGAAAACGAACCCGAAAGCAAGTGGTTAATAACTCTTAGGTTTTCAAAAATTGAAAAACATTTCCATATGAAAGATACATCTGTGTACGTGTATCTCATTCTTTCACACGAGGTAATGTTTCCTGCTGGTATTGTCAGTCGGAATGATATAAGTAGGTATGATTGTAGAATTATAGAGATTGAATGCCTCACTTCACCAGTGACTTGTCAAGCATCTCGAGGCCACTGCTGTCTCATCTTGATGCTTAACATTTTATTTTTATTTTTAGTTCCCTGCATACATACAGTTTAACAGAAATGATTAATCAGTGAATAAAAACAAAAGTACTTGTTTTGTGGAACTTTTTAATTTTAATCACAGAAAGTGTGTTACTCCTTTTTGGTTCTTTTAACTTATTTTGCATTGGATTTGAGAATTTTACCCTGAACTGTGCATGAACAGTTACTGTACATCTGCTAGGAAGATACTTGGTTTTGCTTTCTCGGCAGAACAAAGCCGGCGAGATGACCTAGAATCTCTGGGCTACATGCTGATGTACTTTAACTTGGGCAGTCTACCCTGGCAGGGCCTAAAGGCTGCCACCAAGAGGCAGAAGTATGAAAAGATCAGTGAAAAGAAGATGTCCACAGCCATTGAGACACTGTGTGCTGGTTTCCCATGTAAGGACATAGGCTGAGGAAAAGGCTTTATTCTCTCTAGAGTAACACTTGGGACATGGGGGTGTCATTGCTTGAGATGAACTGCATTTGCTGATCCTTTTTTTTTATTGAAAAGTAATCATGATAAATATTTCCAAATGTATGTAGAGGCGATTTACTAGAGTGCGCCAACAAGAGGTTGCGATGGACAGTCCAATTTTTAAGTTTACGGTCAACAAAAGCATGGCCACCTTACCATGAATTGCAGTTGAACGTATGTCAGCAGACAACTTGGAAAGGCTAAACCTGTAATTAAAATGAAAATCTCCCTGACACAACGTACATCTTGCAATAGTTGAATAACATTAGAAATCATCATGTCTGAAGCATTAACTTAGTGGTCTTTGGCGACTGTCTTTGTTTCTTTTGTGAAGTTTACTTGCATTTATTGTTGGCATCATTCTTTTCCTTCCACCAGCGGAGTTTGCCACATACCTGAACTACACAAGGTCGCTACGATTTGATGAGAAACCTGACTACTCCTTTCTCCGACAGCTTTTCCGCAATCTCTTCCACCGGCAAGGTTTCACCTATGACTACATCTTTGACTGGAATCTTCTGAAAATTGTACGTTGCCACAAGCACGAGCATTTCCTATCAAGTCTCACTCTGCACTTATTCTTACTAAAGTGAAACTCATTTTTTTTTACGTACTGATTGTGCTCTAGCAAATGAATTTGAAAACCAAGTACTGCTGAAGATTCTGTTGGTATTATGTCATTCCCTTTCTGAATGTAATAACATCTTTCACAGTAAATTTATCAAGGTGCAGTTTTGAAAATCTTTGTATATTGTTTGCCTTGCTTACCTGTAACTTACTCAAATCTTTCCATATCCACAAGAACGTTTGGAAGGATTTTGCAGGATTTAATAAGGGAGAGCCAAGTTAAATTTACTTGTGGCACGTTTTTCCTTTTGAAGCCAAAGCACAAAAGAATGTGGGATGGGTCCCTTGCAAAGTGCTGGAGATTGGTAGGGCTCAAAAAGATTGGTTCCAAAAATTAACAGTCAGATGTGGTTGCAAAAGAATTTCAATTGAAAATGTTCGTGCCATAGATGCCCAACATTTTTTAGTTTTGTTGGGTCCATTATAAACCATTCCTCTGCTATCTTTGTGTAGTCCAAGGTATAAGTGCAGTTGTAGAAGTTCGAGGGGTTGAATAACAGAGGGCCAACAGGAATGTAGAATTGTTTCCACATCCAAGCTGACTGAAATTGTTTAATCCACCAGGAGTCTGATATCATTTCATCCCTGACGAGGGAATCCGAGCCTAAATGTGTAAACCTTCAAACATGTCTTTCATGTTGGTACGGAAATCCACAACTACTTGAAAATACCCAATAATGACCTTGGGCTTCAACCTTACCTTCAACACCACTGCATCCTTATGTCTGAACCCCCTACAGGGGAATTCAAAGCCCCACGACGAAGAGCGGGAGAGGCGAGAGGACAGAGAGAGGCAGGGCCACCTGCAGCATCCCCGCAGCTCCACTACACGGGCGGTGGCCACCACGGCAGCTACCAGCCGCATCAAAGCATCAGAGGGACCTCCACAAGGACCTGCAGCAGGTGGTAAGTCATTACCTCCTGGTGGTGCTAAAGAAGATAGTGCTTGGATACTAAGGAGAAGTCCACCAAAAATTTGTAGCTGTGCAGAACATGTTCCTCTACTCGGCAGAGTATCCAGCAGCTCAGCGTAAACTTTACCAATGCCAAGTAGACAAATTGCAGGGCAGAAATGTTAAGGTAACAAACAAAAAGGCTTTACTGAGAAAAACAGTGTGTTAAGTACATGTATCGTGCTCATTACGGCTTCAACCAATTCCTGCCGAGGACTCCGGGATCGGAGACGTATGATTTATATGGGTGGCCGGGGTTTCCAAACTCGGACAAAGGAAATAGGGCCCTGTAACAAAAGACCGTACTCCGAACAAAAGACCAGGCTACTGGGCATTACCGACATTTTTCACTCTCAAAAGTGGTGATAATCCAGCCTTCTTTTGAAACCGTATACCAGGGTTTGAGGCATTGAGAGCGAGCGGATTACCACCGGGGACAAAAGCGCTCCACCACCGCAGCAATGAGCCACACAGAACGGCTGCACGCTAATCTGGCCCCTATTGAAAAGAGGTCAGCAGTGCACTAAGCCAGGTCCGTGAACAAAAGACAGTTATACCACATCGCACAATCTGGGCTCTGTTTACAAGGCTGCTGGCCTGGCTGAAATACTCGGGCGTCAATGAAGGTCACCTGTCAACTTAGAGTAGTGCCTAAAGATTACTTGGTGCGGCTATAAACGACCGTTAAATGAAATGATGAATTTTTGAAGGATTTTGAAAATGGAAAAAATGATAGTAATGCCGGCCCAGCATCATCAACATTGAAAAATGCCCCGGCATGAAGTGGTTAACGATTGTTACATGAAGCTTAGAAATTTAAAACTAGGACCTTTCCCTCGAAGCCTTTTTTTAGCAGTTTAATCATCACAGAGGAAATCTAGGTTAGGGCTGTTGTCAGTAGTTTTAAAGTTTCCGTTTTTAGTTTGGTAGTATTTTACTCACAAAATAAACTGGTTACTTTTCTTTAACTGATCAGGCCTTTAGTGCATCTTGTATTTGCATTCCTTAATTGCCTTCTGCATTCTTATATAGTCTCCAACCCTCAGGCGACAGTGTCTGTAGGATCTGTCCAGAAAGCCCCAGCAGCTAACAGATGGCTCCCGTCTCGCAGCCACACCGAGCTGCCGGAGATTAGTAAGGGTTGCAGCAGCCAGCAGTCGGGAGCTCCCCTGAAGCACAGGCGTTCCAGTGATCACAAGCATAAAGCAGTAGGGCCTAGGTACTAGTTAAGGCACACCGTAGCGGTTTTATCATGATTGGTTGAAGAACCACTCTGAGCAGTTTCAGAGAACTTGTAGATCAAGTGTGAAATCTGTGTTGAGGGCATCTTTGCAGGACAGGACAGCATAAGGTGGATTGGAGTGTTTAGCATGTCCACATTGGTGTCCAGTCTGATGAAGACTGTTGTTAAAAAGAGGAACAAGGGATGGAGCTTCCTTTGAGATATATAAAGATGTGCACTGCTGTCCGAAGACCTTACGGATCTTAGGCTGGTGATGGAGTATCAGAAGCATTACTTCTTACCTGAAATTTTTGTGTACATTATCTCTGTCAAGCAACTAGGTATGCTAACAACAGAAATGCATGCATTTGGAACAGGTTTTTATGCAGGGTCGGCAAATATGTCAGACTTTCTATTCGAAAAATGAATTTCTAGGATTATAAAGGAAATTTCATGGAGAATTCAGGTTCCATTGTTGTCTTAGCCTGCCATAACTGAGATAGGGTGGTAACTGTGTTGTGTTTTTCCCGACCACATTTTTACAGAAGGTGCAATTTATTAAATAAAACTAACTGTAAAGAGTTGTGAAGATTAAAATAATATATGAACGGGATTCTGGTGGAAGTAGATAACTTCTTGCACAGGATTCAGTCCAGGTTTATTCCAGGATAAACAGTGTAGTAAACTTAGTAATGGGTAAGTTTGAGCAGTCAACCCTTGTGTTCCAGTGAACTTGTTGGTTTTTATTTTTCCAGTTTTGCTTTGGCTTTGAGTTATTCATCTAATAGTTCTCAGCTGTTCAGGTTTTTAGTGTTTGGAAATGAGAGTAACTGGAGACTAAGCCAAGCTAACATCATTGACTAATGTCAGATTGTTTTGGTGAAGCAGCCATTTAAATCACCCGTGTTTTTACTCACCCTTTGAACTGTTACTTATACTTGAATTTTACTGCCTTCAGGTTCTTAGTTATTGTCCAAGAGGACTTCAATTTTTGTCAGTATCCATTCTGCACAAATCTGTCCTGGTGCAATTCCATACTGACACTTGCTCTGTTAGAGTCATCCAATACTGTGTATGGGCATCTTGTCAGATTGCGCAGAGTTTGGCTTACCTGTCTTGACAAATCCAACTTCCATTTATATTGCTTCAGCGAGAAACATTCAGAGTATGGAATTACTTTGTTGGCAGGCTTGGAGAAGTCAGGCTTCGAGAAGGCACTTGTTATTGTTGAATCTGCATGTGTAAATTGATTTGACAGTTTCAAGGCTTTTCTTTGTGTTTCTACTTGACTAAACCAGTCTTTTAACATTTTTATTTAGTTTTGTTGCTCATTTAAAAGCACATCAGAAGAACTGTTCAATTTGATCCATGCTTGTTCTTTGGTTTGTGTTATTTCGTAAAGAATGACTACTGTGGTGGTTACTATCATTTCACCATTTTGATCTTCCAGCAAACCCCACATCACCCCGTCCAATCTCCAGAGCTGACAACCAACGCTCTGTCAGCCGCCGCCTCCACCGCGGTGTGGCCCCACCTGTCATGTCTGGCCCCGAGCTGACACGGCGGGACATAGCCGGGGGGCGTCTCACAACTCCGTATTCCGCCATCAACGGTGGTATCAGCAGCGGCCTGGGTGCCAAGCCCAACGAGTTGACGCGGGAGGATGGGGTCCCACGAACGGCGTCGTCCCGCTACCTGCGTAAATGACTGCGCCTGTCCAGCGGTGCTCCGTACTAAGAGAGATTTAAAAACCAACTGTTTGAAGAGTGATGCAATATGGCATTAACAAGCAAAGCAATGTCTGGAAGAAGGAACAAGGTGGTGGATTTTGTTTCAAAAACAAGAGGGAGGTATCCTGAGGTTGTTACGGACAATGCCTCTATCTTCTGTTGAGACCACAGACCAGCCTAACTGGTAGACTTTTTTGTCAGTAACTGCCATGGAGCAATGAGAAATGGACTGAACTGATTAAGTGAGCCCGTGGCAATTTGACGTTGGACCTGTTTGGTGCGGAGACCAAATTGGACTACCAGTGAATCACACATTCGTCTCAAGAGCTGGAGAGAAAATGCAAATGATCAGTTGACTGTAACTTGATTTGACTGGAAACAGATCAAGGAATTAATCAGTGCAAGTCAGGGTAGAGCTCACAAAGAAAATAACCTAACAGAAGCAAAGCGTGCACCACCTTTCTGTGCGGAGTGCTGATATATATAAAAACGTACATACAGGACTAAGCGAAAAGATACATGTATATCGGGCCTGGCATTTGATTGTAAATTAAAATCTGTTTTCTGTACCTCAGTGGGCAATGATCGACTTGAGGAAATAAACTGAGTGTTAATTAATGGTAACGTTCGATCAGGCTAATGTATTGGAAAAGGCATTTTTTATAGTGAAATTGGCCAGAGTTGTTCATTTGACACAGTTGGTGTTATCTTTGCTAGAAGATGAGATGTGTATGTATGGGATGTTCAAATCCTTTAAGTCTGCTGGCTTCTTCACTCTGTGGTCATTGACTACTTCAAGAAAGATGCTTCCCCAAAATTTGATTAACTCTAGTGATTGAAAGGACTATAGCAAAACTCTTGTCCCCTGAACCATATCCCTGCCACAGAATGTGCTGCACTGACTCTCAGCTTATAACACTAATGGCCAGAGTTACTGCACTTTGGAGTCGATTTCATTCCGGCATTGTTTTGCACACTTGCATTTTATCGCTGCTGCCAATCAAAGAACAGGAATTCACTTGTACATATGAACTGTCAAGATGTTGACCATTCACACGATTCCTGTTGGCCATTCAAAGAAGTAGGCCAGTCGGTGTACGTGCACATCATCAGGAATCCATTTCAGAATGACACCTTATGTGTTGTTAAATCATGCGGAAATGCAGCGCACATTATCATGGACATGGTTTTTCTCCTGTAGTTTGGAGTAAGGAGTTTCATCCTGACGTCTAGTCAGGTCGGGCAGACACTAGTCTTGAGAGGGAAGCACTTTGGTAAGAGAACTGTTGAAACAACAGCAGTCTGCATCAAACCGATTATGTTTTCATTTTGTCTCATTTTGTCATCTTAGTCATGGAAACATGTTTTTACTGGTTTGGGGAGTAAAAAGTAAAATGCCGTTCACGTTTTACCTCTTGTAAAGAAGTGTCTACCCCAAGAGTTGATTTTTCTGAAAGTCCCTGTTAACCACAGCACCACTGAGGGACAAGCATCTCCAAGACATACAGATGAACTAAGCTGAGGAAATTGGCTTTCATAAAACTGGGATATTGTTACTGTACAGATACAGGGTGATTCTATGTACTTGTAGGTATCAAGGCCACAATACACCCTTCTCTCCCTGTTACGCCATTGAAGACCAATCACCAATGCATTTTTAACTCTTACTGAAGTGTGCAGCCTTCCGTGTATAAAACTTAACTGTTACGAATTGGCTGGCACCTAGAATCTGGTTGTGCAATGTTGCTGATGGATTCTTAATGGTACAGTACAAGTCACTGCTACTTCACATCAGCCTTGATGTCCCTGTTTTGGCCACGTACACATATGCTACTGCTTGACTGCCTAGTGCTTGATGTGGAAGCATTTTGGGAAGTTCTCCTTGCCAAAAATACCTAAGGAGTTAGGGCTTGAGAGAAAACAGTTTGCACAACGCCTAGATCCTGCCCAGATCCTGCCCAGATGTGTCAAGAACAGTTTTGTGTCGGATTTTGAGGGCTCACAAAGGAGAAGCACTCTTTGGCCAGCAGCATTCTTAACACTTTAAGAAATGATGAAATGGCCTGACTGCAGGCACATTTAGATGAAATTTGACTGACTTTTGATGATGATGAATAACTGTTATTTTGTTTTTTTGTATATGTGTCAGAAATGTGACCTACATGAGCATGGTTGTTAATACTGTATCAAAGACCGTTTATGAATGTGAAACATATAGCGACTCTCGTAGACATTGTACCTAAAGTTTTTGTATGCATTGAAGTAATTCATAGATTTTTTTGTGCAGATGAGGGAATATATCTGAGAACTAGACATGAATTTGCCAGACGGACTGACGATCAATGGATGAAATTCCTGGAAGCGAGTCTTACCAGATGTTTTTGTCTTTTTTTTTTCATTAAACAAATTGATATCCATGTAGCTCTTCCATGTCACGAAGTCAAAATGTGAATTAAAACAATGACTTCAAACTTCTTCGGTTTTTTTCTCTCAGCAACGGGTAATGAGAGAGGCAAAGAAAAATAAGTAACAACTTTAGTGATAGTGTACGTCACAAGTTACAGCCATAACACTTTACATTTTTACAAGCACAGAGTCTCCAAGTTTCTTTTGTCGAGAAAGCTGTGTACTGTGTTTTAAAAGGAAAGAGAGTCCTGTTTGGTATAAGTTCCATACTCTCAGAGTCACTGATAGCACTGTCTGCTGCTAACATTTTTTTTAACCTGGTTTAGTGGTTTTCATAGTGCACAGTTTGTGACGAGCAAATTCAGCATTTTTCACCAAGGAATATTGTACTTTAATTTCTTGAGGCATCGATAAGCAAAGGCCAGCTGAAGTACAGATTGTCATTGCTAGCTAAACGTGTCACTGTGCATCCAACTAGAGTACAGAACCGTACAGCTTTGGAAATTTAAACTCATGCGTGTCTTAAGAAGTAACAATGGGTTTTTGTTTGTTTTTGTGCTTTTTTATTATAATTTTACCACTTACATACACAGACAGCAGGGCTCAATTTCATGGCATTACTAAGCAGATGGCTTTCGGCTAACCAAATCTTGAGGAAGTTCGTGTTGTGTAAAGATTGTGAATTGTAATAGTTGTGAGGAGTATTCTGACATAAGGGGAAGAACTTATTTCAAATATGTTGCCTCGATGTAGAAAAAAGGACATGGTTTCAATAAAATTTGTGTGCCCTGTGTTTAGCCTTGCTATGAAATAGGCCTGGTGTGTCTGACTTATTCCTGTAAGTTTGGTGTATTTTGCAAATAAATTTTGAACCACCTGGCGTTCCAGTGGAGCGTAATGCTGGAATGTGCTGTTTTTAATGAAAAGAGAGAAGAAATGAAATTTAAGTTCTGTAGAATTTTTAAGGTAACTAGGCAGCTGGTAGTCACTTCCTATTTATATACGGTGTCCAGTCCAATATGTTGCCAGTTGCTTGGTCACTTTGTTTCAAAAATGGTTTTGTTATGTATTAATGTTCATGTAAATAATTGGAATTTTTGTGTAGGTGTCAATGCATATGCCACAATTTTTCCCCTTTGTACAAGTCAAGTCCCAAATTGTGTGTGTTTAATTTAGAGGTATTCCATCAGGAGATTAAGAATCATTTTTTGCACAGAAATTCACCTTTTCCGATTTATTATATCTGCAGAAGTTTGGAACTCATTTTTGTAAAGGTCTTTTATGATTGGATGAAGTGGCTACACAATTTTCACTTCTGGAATCCTATGGGATGAAATCATTATTTAAATTCCATTATCAGGCGCCTATTCATTGGAACTGATCAGTTCACTTCAGTGCTGGATTCTTATTGGCCCATCGATGTCACTCACAGTTGGCATTCATTCCTAAAATGACGTAACTTCCGTTTCATAGTGAAGGTATGCTTTTTATTGCCTACCTTTTCAGTGTTTCTCCACTTTTGGTGAGCAATAACGGAAGAAAACCTGGAGGCTGGACAGGCCAAGTGACTGTGGAAATGACCAAAAGAAGGCTTCTTCTCTGATATTGGCTCCAGACCCAGGGCCCCAGACCCTGAGTGCTTGAAATACAGTTTAGGATCATCCAGTGTGTATTTTTGCATTTTGTTCATAATAGTACCTGCAGCGAATGTTAACATTGGAGGGTCCGGAGAGATGTAACCAGGGTAGGTGACAAAGCCAACGACTTGGAAATGCCCTGCAGTGGACTTAAGCACTGAAAGCAACTTACTGCCAACATGTCTACATTGGTTACATTTGTCGGAACCATGGAATTATTTTACTCAGTCATTTGTCATCCCTCGAGAGTATTAGGAAGATAAAGATATAAAGTGTTAAATATGTGTTGATTAGTAGACTCCTTAATTATCTATCAAACAATGAAATAAAATTGTACAGATAAGCTGACAAAAATGTGAAGTACCTCTGCCCTGTATCAAATTTTTAATTGGCTTTGTTGGAAAGGTTCCGGCGAGCATGGAACAATCTCTGCGTAAGGAAGCAAAGCTTAAGAACTGACAATTCATTATTTTCATTGTGTTATCACACAAAGAATGTCATGGCAGTTTTCCAAGATTATTTAAGGGCAAACGTTTTTACAACTCGCGGGCTAAACCCAATCCTTTAGTCGGTCAGTTGGATTAAAACTTTAAGCCTAATCCCTTGTAATATTTTTCACTAACGTGTGCCGATGTAATGTAGCAAACTAGATAAAAATGGTTAAGGCTATTGTGCCCATTTTCAGTGTTTCCAATTAACCGTTAAATACATGCTTTAAATTTAAACCCCAGTGCCCAAGTTTATTTTCTGCAGTTTGCGACGTATTTTGGAAACGCTGCTACAACGTGCTACAGCTCCGGATTCTGACCCTGTACTTGTCGATCTGCATCCGCCCTTCGTGACCTTCCCCGTCCAATGCGGACCTGCATCGTCTATCAGCGCTTGCTCAGATAATTCAGTGGACAATCAACCCACATCCGATCCCGCACTCGACCTCACCCGAGATACGTAGCAAGACCCGGTCCAGCCGCAAGAGCTGCTTGCCTTACCCGTCTGAAGGCTCGTCTACGTCTGCTTCAGAGAGACACGATTCAAGTCCTTGGTCTACCCGCCTTGTCACCAATCAAAAAGACTCTTGAGTCACGCCCATCCTTTAAATAACATACGGCCAGAAAGGAATCTTGGCCAATTTTTCCAGAACTGCCTCTAGACCACTTATGCCTGGAAACGTACAAAGTCCTCTCCAACGCAAGACGCTAGCGACACCTCTCTAGAGCAAAGGCCTACTTCCAATTGCCTCGGAACGACTTCAGCTTTCTATTCAGTTACCAACTGCCACTAAAGACAAAATAGCTTCTGACTCAGCTAAGTCGTCCGCCAAGAACCTGTTTCTTGATAAAGACAAGTCCAACCTGGAACTTACCTTCAATCCAAGTTGGATAGAGCCACTCCCAACGGTTTCCGTTGTACTGCCTTTCCCTCACTCTTGTCAGAGTACCTGTCTTATGCGTGTGAGGAGAACTCTCCTGTCTCTCCAGACCTCGCTGCAGTTGCTGTCCGGGCTCTAGACGAGAACATAACTCTGTCTTTGAGCAATTCTTGCGGATTTTCTGTCTAGCTACGTCAACCTGCTGAGCCAATGGTCTTGAGGTGAGGAACATCCTATACGAGGGTGTGAAAACTAAACTCTAAATAAAGCTTTCCCATACGGGAAAGACGTATTTGCAGGACAGTTCATAGAGACGTACTACCTTCCCCTTCTTAGCTCACACAGACAATTCAGAGGAGAAACCCAGCGCCACCCCGTCCATTCAGGGGTTGGCGTCTTTGACATCACGTCAGACAGACGGGTACTCGGTGACCGTCTCTCTCGGCTGCACCCTTCAATTCACGAGTGCCCCTCCATCCGACCCAACTCGTGGTCCAACTCCAATCCCCTCTAACAGGAACAAAGAGTAAGCTTTGGAGACAGAAATGAACACTCTTCTTCATGGGCTGGCCATCCTTTTGTTCCCCTAAACATCAGCAACGTGGGCTTCATTTTGACGTTCTTCCTCACACCAAGAAAGAAACCCGGCAAGTGGCAACCCATAATCAAGCTGAGGCCACTAAACAGGTTCATCCGTCCCAGAAAGTTCCGCATGAAGGCTCTCCGAACAGTAACTCTATTCCTGTCGATTCCAGCCCAGGCGTCGTCCATGGATCTGAAAGAAGCCTACCTGCACATCCCAACCCACCCACGAGACTGTAAGTAGCCTACGTAGACTCTTCAATTCATCTACAATAGAAGAACCTTCGGGTTTTCGGTTTTGCCATTTGGTCTCTCGACGTCCCAAAGGGTTTTCACCCGAGTGGCGAAAATTGTTAAAGCTCGTTAGACGTCCTGATGTTCCAATACCTCGACGACTGGCTCAACATAGACAGATCTCCAGACGGGGCTGCAGCCTCCACTCACCTTACTTACAAGCTTACCAGGCGTCTGGGTTTCTCATTAACCACGAAAAATCGAAACCTATCATACCCAGAATCCGACTTACTTAGGTGCGGTTCTCGACCTTCACCGGAGCTCCATCACACCAACACCGAACACGTCGACAATCTCCAGGATTGCGTCGGCCCCTATATACCCCGCCAATCGGCCCCAGCCCGGGGCATAGCTACGTCTCCTCGGCTATAGAATTCCATATCTGCCGTCGCCTGTCGTCCGTCACCTCTTGCTTTTTATTTTATTCTAATTTTGCCATTTTCCAGTTCCATATATGCCATTTTCCGTCGTCTGTTACACGTCGTCCGTCGCGCCTCGCGCGTCGTCCATCGTCCTCGTATGTTCTTTTTTTTGTCACGCTTGCGCAGTGCTATTTTTCACTTTGACTCTTGATCTTTTCACACACTTGTTCGATCGATCCGCCGTGCCTAGAAGCCTAGAAGATAATGTATTTAATTCTCCAGTTGCGTCGTACTCCACTTGGAGGAAGCAATATCCTTTCCTTTTTTAAAGAATGACATCGGTAAAGTAAAGTGTATGGGAAATAATAACCATATTCTGTTAAATAAACAACGGACGACGGCATATATGTAATTCCATACCTCGGCCCGTTGGCGAGCCTGGTGGACGTGGTACCTTTTTGCCGTCTTCATTTCATATGAAGCCCCTCCAGCTCCACCTGCTGTCGTACTTCCGACTCAAAGGGGACCAGCTCAACCTTCCAGTTCCTATAACAGACTTCATCCGCCCACACCTTTGCTGGTGGCTGATACGGAACCATCTCGATAGCGGTTTCTCCTACCTGAAGATGGATCTGCAGGTGACGAAAACTACCGATGAGTCCCAACTATGATTGGGTGCTTCCCTCCCCCTTCCAGGTCTTCGGAACTCCAGGTAGTCTTCAACGCGCTATGTCACTTCTGCACAACCGTCAAAGGCAAACGTGTCCTGATTTGATTGGACAACCTGACCGTGGTCCAATACATAAATCACCAAAAAGGCGTGCACTCACTATGTCTTTGCCTTCCGACAAGACACATGTTTCTATGGGTGCTTTGGGATAGACCTACAGGAAACCTATGTCCTGGGAGCCAGAACTCCATTACAGACGCCTTCTTTTGAGGAAGAATCCACCCAACAAATTGGACTCTGCACTGCAACGTAGCCGAGTTAATCCTCAATGTAGTCGACAAGCAATTATCGACCTCTTCGCCCCGGGAGAAACGCTCACCTACCGGTGTTCTGTACCAGGTTCCCTCACTCTCAAGCCTGGGCAACAGATGCCCTAAGTATCAGCTGGGAAGGGAAACTTGTCTATGCCTTCCCTTCAGTATCCCCAATCCCAGCAGTGTTGTCCAAGGTTGAACTAGAGCGTTGCCATGTTCTTCTTATTGCTCTGTTCTGGGCTCTCCAACCGTGGTCCCCCAACTGAACAGACTGCTATAGTACAAATCCCCCCACTCAGACCGGACGTTCTCCACCAACCGAAGTCCAACATCTCTACCCACAGCCAGCAGATCTCCACCTGACCTGCTGGCCATTGTCCAGCGTTCATTCTGCGCAGTAGGCCTTTCCAGCGATGCTGCCGAAATGGCCACAAGAGGTCGGCGCCAATCAACTCGCAAAGTCTACAGCAGCAGAATAAGACATTTTACTTCATGGTGCAAAATACAGGGTGTGGCTCCAACCGAGGTATCTTCAACCACAGTGGCGGACTTGTACCCATTCAACTCGGGACTGCATGTAACGACTATACACAACTGTCATTCCACCATCACAGCTCCACTCTGTCGGACAACAATACCCTCAAGACAGCTCATTCCCTCATGGAACCTGTCCCGTGTTTAGCTTCGGCTCCTTCCAGGCATCTTTTCGAGCCCCTTGGCGAGGCCTCATTATTACACACCTCAGTGATGAAGCTGGCTTTTCTTCTCGCCGTTCATGTTCATTTATTTCCACAGTTTTGCATACATACGATCTCAATTTTCAAACAATATATTTGACATGGGGGGAGCTGTGGAGGTACCCACTAACAACCAAAACTTATGATTGTGGGCCTTAAAATCAATTCATGGTTACTATTAATTAATTACCATACATAAAGACAAACACTATTTGTATCGCCCAAGACGATGAGAGCGACGGATTAATCAAGTTCATTCGTGATTCTAGCTTTTTGCCAATGGGGTGTCCGTGAGCCACGCTGGCGAAATTTGCAATTCCCTATGGGCTTTTACGATGCTTTTGGAGGGACTTTGGTTATCTGAGAAGCAAGGCGAAGTTTTCTGGTAAGCTGGAGCAGTTTGTGGGAAAGACTTGAAAGAAGTTGGCGGTAAGATTGTTCCTATTTTCGAATGGGGGCCTCGGTGGTCTAGCCTTTTCGGCTATCCCGCCTTTGTGTTGCCGTTGCGGGGGCTAGCCGGGAGCATGTAACGGCCAGAAAGATTCATACAACTGGGCGATTTTCTAGTGATATCATCTCAATGAAGGTGAATCGGTGAATAGTGTTAGGTATATGAATGTGGGACTGGAAATCTTTTCGGATTGTGTTAAGGGGTACTTGGACGATTTTCTGAGATTGACTCTTCATGCACTCTGTGCAGGCCATACAGCGTTGGGATATTGCTTTATATCCCAGCGGTTAACATCTGTTAATCTGATCGTTCTTTTAGCATTCCTTTTAGAAGAGAATCATGGAATAACGATAGTCGATTGTCATCTCAAGGCCTAGGAGTGTGGCAGGGTATCTACCGCTTTCGTTGTTCATTGATGCATAATATGCATCAAAACGCTCAAATAGAGAAACGTGCTGCTTGCGGCACCATATTATGGTGCCGCAAGCAGCACGTTTCTCTATTTGAGCGTTTGTTTTCCATCGTGACTCGCTGGGTCGCAGGGCTGGTGCTGTATGGGCGCGGTCGTGCTTGAATGGTTC